GAGAAGATTAAAATTTCTAGTAAGGAAATACAAACTACATTATCGAATACAACAGACATCTAGATTTCTGGACATTGGGCATGCATCGACTAATTATGGAGATGCGAGAAAAACACTGTTTTCTTATCCCCAACACATGACAAGGATGGACTGAAAATCAAATTCTGAGTGTTGATCTTACATTGCTTCATAAGAATGTAGTTAAAAATCTCGTAAAGGAGTGATGGGTAATTAATGGTTTCGACATTGAAATTATGTGATTCAACAATGTGGAAAAAAAATTATGTTATTTTCTTTATGGAACATAAAAACTCTTAGTCAATGTCTTTATTTTAAATATTTGAAGGTGTAACCATACTCTTCCTGGTATAATAAATATGAAAAAAACACCATTAAAAGATACTTCAATGTTTTAATGATATAAGTCACTCTGAATATGATGTCACTCATGCGCATGGTACAGAATTTAGCACGGAATATCTACACTTTTTTTCATAATAATTTGGGCTTAAGTATGAAAAAAAAATCCAAAATACTTAAATTTTATACTTTGGTTTATATATGTTTCTAAATGCCCGTGTTCTTAATTTTCCATCCCTTTTTTATTTTGCATTGAAAGAACTCATTTAAAAATATATGCTAGAAGAAAGTTAAGAAAAATTTTAAGCAGTAATTCAAAAGTCAGACGCATATAATTAGTCTTCATTTATTTAAATCTAGTTATTTCAATCTGTGTTATTTTCCCTACATAATTCATGTTTTAAACTAAATATATACCCTGAGTGTAATGAAATTTGGAAATAAACCATATAATGGATAATAAAAATTGTTAATAAATATATCCTAAGCATTCCCGGATAAATAAATTTGTACATGGCAAAATTACTTTTAGCACTTTTAAAAAAATACTTTTGTAAAATCTTTTATAAAGAAAACGTTTTTAATAACTAATATGTATATAAATTATTTAAAAGTACTTTTTTACTTAAAGTGCAGTTAGTTCATAACAAAAATACCCAGTAAATGTTTAAGTAGTTGTTTAAAATGTTGCTTTTTCCTTACCACAATTTCAAAAGATAGACATTTCAGGCTCTAAGAAAATCCATCCATTTAACGTCACTAACATCCATAGCCGTCCTTTAACGTCAATAGTAAATTTTAGCCACCGATAATTATTTAATATACATATGGGTATACTATTTTGTATCTTTAAAATAAATTTATCTACTGTTATATATATATATATATATATATATATATATATATATATATATATATATATATATATATATATATATATATATATATATATATATATATATATATATATATATAATTCCCTATAGCATCCTTTTAATTAACGCTTCTTTAATAATCTTTAAATAAGCTTTTAATTATTAGGTACAAAACTAACGCGCTAATCTTAATCGTATCAGAAATCACTTTCCCACTCTTTTTAACCAATCAGAGCTCTTATTACAAAGGAGTCGCGCGATCTACACTACTGGTACAAAAAGCGAATTTTTGTGCTCACTCTCTCTTTTCGTCTCAGTCTCGACGAAAAAATGTAGAAATAACTGCAAATATTTTATCCTTTGTGTGTATGTGTTTATATGCTTATTGTGAAGTCGTAACGTCTTTGTTGTTTCATGTGAAAATAAAGAAGAGTAAAAGGAAATCAGAAGAAGCTATCTGCTTATTCAGAAACAACCAGTTGAAATAAATCAACACCAGCCCACGCTATATATATATATATATATATATATATATATATATATATATATATATACGAGGTATATCCAGAAACTAAGTTCCGTTTGGTAATAAAAATAAATTGTATACAGATACAGAAGAAACATTTATTGGACAAAAAATTTAAAACTCTTAAACTACCTTTCCACATAACTGCCGAAATTTTGTAGGCATGTGTCATATCGTGGCACAAGTTTTTCTATGCCTTCTTCATAGAAGGTTGCCGCCTGTGTCTTCAATCAGTTGGAAACATTTTGTTTCAGCTCTTTGTCATTGTTGACGTGTTTACCGGCAAGGAAAGACTAGAGATGTAAGAAAAGATGAAAATCGCTAGGAGTGAGGTCAGGGCTGTACGAAGGATTACCAAACACGTCCCAGCCAAATCCTCGAAGGAGGGTTTGTCCGTAAATTCACAAATTTTCCGATAAATTTCGATTGGTTTCATTTTCTTAGCATTCAGAAAACGAATTACACTGGATTCACTTTCTTAGCATTCAGAAAACGAATTACACATCTGATTTCGCACGCAGCGGGATTTTCAATCAACACCGACATTGTAAACAAGCACAACAAAGCGTACGTGGCTGACAGTGATCTAAAAATGACGCATGTGCTTCTTCTCCTTGATACTAAACGTCTGTCGGGCATGCGCGGAACTGCGATCGCTGCGCTGGAGCGGATATAAATAGAAACGGAACTTAGTTTCTGGATATGCCTCGTATATATATATATATATATATATATATATATATATAATGAAATACGAAGAATAAATAACACATATTTTTAAACTTAAATTGTGATGTGTTCTCCAGTAACAAATCTGAGAAAAATATTGGAATTTAACTATTTGAAAACAATTTTGTTAAATTGTTTAAGAATGTGTAGAGGGAACTCAAATATTAACTTATTAAAGACCGCGTTCAATTATTTTTCTTCACAGCATGAAAATAAAATTCTTTTGAGATAGGTGTGAAAGTTTTATTAATTGAAAGTAAAAATATTTTATAATCAACACTTAAAGTATGAAAAAAGTTTTTGTGTACTTATGTACGCACGTAAGAAGTTATACTTCTTTGGCGTATCAAGATTAAAATATTTCTAAGAATCTTGAGCAGGGTAAGCCGGCGGTCACGATCAGAGTTGAACGTTACTAACCTTTAGTAAATCGGACCAGCCAAACACGAGAAAATCACAATTTAAATAAATTTAAACACCCCCGCATAGGGACAATAGGACCAATAACGGGAGGAGTTCGGCAGACTGTATCTGGAGATGAAGTGAATCAAATGTGACACCTGAGACCTCATATTTAATGTCTTGGAGGGAAGAATCATTCCTGAGAAAACTAAGACATCCGCCTGAAGAGTCCTTGAGTTATTGTCATTTTAAAATAATTAAAACATTTAAAACAATTAAATAAAATAGAAGTAGGGCACCCAGCAACCAGAATCTGGGCCTGGTTGTAAGGAAACACAAGATGAATCCAATAGAACCGGCCTGGAGTCTGTAGTTGCAAATGGGGTGAAGGTAGCTCGGGAAAAGAAAACGAAACTAACTCCCCTGGGGAACACTGTAACGTACATGGTCAAGTACATCCCCACGATACACAGGGTAGTACGTGATCCCTAAGTTTAATCCTTCTATCTCTGCTATATTGTTACGTCAAAAAAAGATCGAACCCCATAGGAATAACATGGGAATTCTAATTTTTAGGGATAATGCCTCTTCTGAGCCCTCTATCTACACACAAAATATAACAGATGAAACAGCTCAACGTGAAGAACTTATGGTCAGAGTTTCCTTAACGAATCTCAAAATATTTGGAGCTATGTGGGATTTAAAAAATTATAACTTTAAAATAATTTTAAAATGTTAAATATGGGTGAAGTAATGGATCTATGGTCCTGAAAAAAATAGTATATCTAGGATGCTCATAGGAGAACAATCGAATCCAGCCGGTGCGGTCAACCAAAGTGGGAAAGGATTCGAGTTATTTCTGGGGAAGCCCTGTAGAAGAGGAACACCAGATGGGACCAATTCCACGTAAGGCTCGCGCTAATTCGAAAATATGGCGGACCTCCAAAAATTAAGTCCCAATCTCAATTCCTTAGGGGGTGAGATTTTTCAAGTTCCCATAGGATTCACATAGAAGCATGATATTTTAATGCTTAAGCTCTCTCCATGCCTACACAATGGAAATGAAGTACATGACTGGATGGGTTTTGACGAGTGGAATATTTGGTTCTCGAATCTCAAGTCCGAGACTCGAACAGGAGCCAAGATATTACGAATTTAAACAATTTAAAATTTTTAAAACAATTAAATTCTATAGAAGAAATATCCCTATGAGCATGGAATTATAACTGGAAGAGCAGATAGAAAGGGATCGAATGAACCAGGTTCGAATGGACTGTGATGCTCGGGTGCCGAGATATTGGCCAAAAAAGCTGTAAAGGGGGGAGAATGCAACGGGGGGATGCGTCCTAACTGAGATGGTTTATAATAATAGTTATTATGATACCCCAAATATCAGTCCCACAGCACAAAAAAGTGGCGTGTTAAAATGTTATCCAACGCTTTGCGCACGCATCGGTTCGTGAAGGTATGCTCGAGCATAGTAAAAATTTACCCTCATCTTTTTCCCTACTGTCCAAAACTTCAAAAATTAATATACAAATATAAAAGACTATTATAATTTGCTACAATGTAATAAATGGGTTTATGTTCATCGCAAGGAATTCGTAGTAAGTACTTCTATAATCATATACTTGCAATTATTATTTAAATAGGTAAATTCTTATATAGGTATTTACTTTTATATTTTATGTACATGAAACACAATTTAAAAATTAATTCACTAATTCTTTTTTAATTTCATGTAAGTATGTTTGGTTTAATAACAAAAAGTGTTCAAAAAATGCATCAGAGAAAGCTCCATAGGTGAAGGACGATCTCTCCCTACTCGTAGTGACGTCACAAATCACCGTAAAACAAACGTTCGCTGACACAGGGGGTATAGCTCAGTGGTAGATCACATTTGAGAGGTATCCGGTCACAGATTGAGAGGTATCCGGCTAAAACCCGGCTGTCCCACTCTTCAGGGCAGTGAAGAGAAATAGTTTTTTGATAATTTCGAAGGTGGGAATGATCTGTCCCGTTCTGTACATTTCTAGACAAAGCATTTTAGTATCCGTTCCTATTCCGTTAGTATTCATTTTAGTATCCGTATTCAAAGCAAAGTTAGCTGACGCAGGGTGTAGCTCAGTGGTAGAGCTTTCGACTGCTGATCGAAAGGTCCCCGTTTCAAACCCGGGTGTTTCATTCTTCAGCGAAGTGAAGAGAAATATTTTTCTGAGAATTTCGAAGGCGGGAATGATGTGCCCTGTTCTATGTATTTCTAGACAAAGCATTTTGGCATCCGTGACGGTGTGCTTTACATCTGTGATGGTTTTACGTCACATCCGTGATGGTGTGTGCACGCATCGTAAAATGTACTCTCATCTTTTTTTCCTAACGCCCCCAAAGATGAATAACTTCAAAAAAATATTAATTTAACTTAAAGTTTGAGAATTTAACGCGCGAGCGCGTTGGCTTTTTGCAAAGCTGGCTCTAAATGTGTTAATTATTTCAGCATAAGTAGTCATATATATATATATATATATATTGCGAATTTCGAATTATTATTTTGCGTCAAAAAAGAAACTTGCAAAAATAGCATATATGAGGCATTATTATTCTTAAGGGGCATGATACAATTTACGCAAACATTTTCAATTGAAGGGTTTCTAAAAAAGTTTTTGTTGCCTCCTATGTATGTATAATATGTTAAACAGATTTTGGGCTCAAAATTTCATAAAGCCATGTAATTTTTTTAAGGAAAAACTTAAAATTTTTGAAGTGATTTTAAATTGCTACTCCTCCCCTACAAAAATTTACGTACATGCATAGAATTTGATTTACAAGTACGTCAAACTATGTATAATAAAGGTTGGTATGAGATTTGTGCTAACGTGATTGGTATTCATACAATACTTCTTTCTATGAATGTTTATTAAAAATTCCTTAAAAATGTATAAATTATGAGTTCAATTATTTTAAAAAAATAAATAATGTTTTAATTCAAAAATGTCTACTATTTTTTTACATGTACTATTAGCAAGACGTAAAAAAATTCAAAGCATTTAGGTCAAATAGAAAAAAAATCCTTAGCATTTTAAGTGAAGACAAACTAGTTAATTTATCTTTCTGAGATAAGTCAGTTTGAAGTTTTAATTTCTTATAGAGATGTGAATAAAAACGAACGTGAAAGCTATCATAATTCTGCGTTTTTTAAGTTTAGAGCTTTCAAATTTTGTGAAGTCATAGAAAATTATATAAGGAACAAATTAGGCTAAAAAGATTTAATTTGATTTTTTGACCAATTTTGGTGAATTGAATCGAACTGTGTTCTCTTAATATTGTTGCGATTTTAAAAATCTGCTAAGAAATATTAAATAAATATAATGTAATACTAAGGTACAATAATTTACTTTGTTATCCTTTAAAACGCTATTTCATAAAAAGTAAGTTAGTAATTGCTAAATTAATATTATGCAATTTGTCATTGGTCTTGCTACTTTTTTAAAAATTAATGCTTAGCTCATTTGAAAAGTAAATGACGAAGAAATTCCAACTATAGGAATTTTAAATGAAAAACAAATCCTTATCAAATTATATCTTAAAAGACAGATGCGTAAAAAAATAGGTAAGAGTAGGAAATAAAATTAATTGCATCAATATATGGTTCTTTAATTTTTAAAAGCAACGATTGTACATTGAAATAGAAGAATTCATTTCAACGTGTTGCTCATTTTTTACAGTTTGGTATTCTAGGTTTTTTCAAATTAATTAACAAGAAAAATCATATATCATTATTACTGTAGAGCCTGATGAATGTAGCTTAAAGAATGATTTTACACAAGGGAATTTCGACATTTAAAAAGAGGTTTTTTTTGTTCTACAAACATTTAAGCGCTAGACTATAATGTTTCTTTTACGAAGTAATCTTACGAAGATTCCTCGAGGGAAATTAAGAACGTTATGATGACTGACTCGCTAAAACCCAGAATAAATAGAAAATGCCATTGCACCGAATGCCATTTTTTTAAATTTAAGCAATGCAATACTAAGAAATATTTAAAGCAAAGCTTGTATTTGTTCTGAATTTGTTTATTGTTTGCTCGTATATTAAGTGTAAATCTGTACTCCAAGAGATAGGTGCAGTTTTTTTCTTCGAATCTTATTTGAAAAAGAATAAACCTAGAAAGATAAAAAAATGAAAAGAAATGTGCACTCACAATAAAATTTTCATTAAATGCTATACATAAATTTAGATACGTTTAAATTAAACATGATTTTCAACAAAAACATTATTGTCAGAAGCCTCCACTCTTGCTAAAAGCAGTACAACGCATTTTACTCGAAATATTGTCGTGGAATTACGATAATGATTTCTAATAAGAAATTTGTATACCCCTCTCTCATTACAAGGGTGGATTCCACTTTCCATGTTGCCAAATAAGTCGTGAGTCACCGAAATAGAAGGCGGTAACCAAACACAGAACGATCTTTCTTTCGGCTCATATAATGACCTTGGAGGGGGGCTTGAAACTGAAATGTGTTTAGCAAAACATATTGCAATGTACACTCTTGGATTCAGAGATCTAGGGAAAAAGCCGGATATTACAATCTCTTCAAAAACCGGCATCCCCTAGATCTGGGGTGAGCATTACGTCGATCACGATCGACCGGTGGATTGTGCCAAGACATTTTGAGGTGACCGCTTGAAGATTTTAAAAGTTAGTAATTATATACGGAAAATTCAAAATTTGCTAACATCAAGCAGAGTATGAGTCTTCTACTGACTATAACAACAAAAAAAAACTTTAAATAAAAATGTTTTATTTTTAATGCATTTTGAATTGTTTCATAATAAATGCATCATTTGATATAATTACATTTGTGGCTATTGTTATTAAGTTTATATAATATTATATTATAACTTGCGTTTTGCTTTAAACGTTGGTTTAAAAGTGTTTTATTTTAGTTCTGCAGGTATAAGTACATAGTCCGTATTTATTATTGCTATTAAAATAACACTTTCCTAACTTCACCACACGTACGACACTGGGCAGTGGTGCAAACAAGAATCTACAAGGCTCGAAGGTCTACCATTCTCGAATCATACCCCAAAACGCAGCCAAACACATTTTTTTTATTTTGTCGAATGTCGGGAACAAAAGACAACAAAAATAAGTTGCTGAATAAATAATTAGCATTCATTAATAAAAAAATTACCAAAAACAAGTACTTAGTTACATTTTACGTACTATATGCATGGGATTACAATGAATCCAAAAATAATCTAGGTCTATGAGGGTAGGTCCGGCTCCGTGTACCCCTCCCTCCTTGCGTGTGCCATTAACACTAGGTGGACAGCAACAGCTTGAAAAATTTAGAAGTAGAAAAGTCTGCCCACCCCTGCCCTAGATAGTCCTCAACAAGCGCAGATCAGTGAAACCACACATGATCATCTATCAGAATGAACTTATAATCAACAGTAGATGACTATAGAAGGACACATCATGAATCCGTCTGGATACTCTAAACTAGTCGGTTACTACATGGAGTACATGAACGCCAGCGTGTGTTCGCCGGGAGAAATCCTTGCACAAACCAAAATTCCATAAACTCTGTAACTATTTTTTCAACAGTGTTGAATTGATTGTATCTGGTACATTCCTCAACAAGAACATATCAGTATAAGTCCACAAATTATCATCCATTATAACGAACTCATTACCAACAGTAGAGGCATATCTATGGAGGAATTTTTAATGAATCCCTGGATACTCCAAACTAGAGTTTCTGATCTCCACGGTTTTTCCATTCCTGGCATTGTCTGGGAAATCCCTGGAATATAATTGTCGTTTTAGGAAATCCCGAAAATGCATCAAAATTTCAAAAAAAATTAAAAACAAGTTGTTATTAAATAAATTCAATAATAATTATTTATAATAAGGATACATATAAATTCCAAAAAATAATACTTATTTATATAATAAGCTAAAAAAATATTTATATTAAATTGATTATTCATTTTAAGAAAGGATTTCAGAAAGCATAAGCAATTTATACTTTTAATCACTCAACCTAGTTTGTAGCTTTGTGTGACGAATAATCCGACAGCGACAATGCTCTCTCAGTTTCAACTTTCGCTGAAGGAATTGTATTTGAAGCCGCACATAGTTCTATAATGTTTAGTGATGAATTTTCAGTCGAGTTGAGCAACTACAGCTCTTGTTTCATGGTTTTGTTGAAATTAGTACTTTTGTTTTGGTTGAACAGTATAAAACTTTAGTTTTAAAGTAAATTGCTTTCTCTAATTTTCCGTCCAAAGTCAGAGGTTTTCTTTCAAACTATCCATGCTCTTTTCTTCTGAGTGTGAAAAATTTCATATTAATTCCTCTTCGCAGAATAGACTTGTTTCTATCTCTCATTTGGGGCTGTCTAACCAAATATTTTTTACCAAGCAATTGCGAAATTACGACAGTAACTGCAACTGCTTAGTATTTTCTTCCAAAATACAGACATTGCATTAATCCTATTAAATTAACGTTGCATCTCTCATTAATTCTTTGGATTAGAGAAAATTTCATATTTTACGCAAATTCTGATATTCGTTCGTCCAATTATTTATTTACGAACGAAAACACACCTTCTGCGGTTAGTAAACTTGCATTTCGACTGCATAATTTTTCTAAGCCAAATTTTACTAGCCTTAAACCCGCTACAATCGAAGCCACATTTTCAATTCCTACATTGGCCACCATTTGTTCTTCTTAAATGTCAATTGATGCTTTTAAAATTGCCGACTTTATTTCTAAAAATATTTCAAGCATTACCAACAAACTATTCAAGCGTGTTTTAGTATACAAACAATCCATATTTCACTGCTAAACTCTTCTTTAAAATTTATTTGTAAAATAGGATACATGACAGGGGAGTGGTGATTTCTGAATAAATGTACTACATTTCTAAGCCCCGTGTGATTCCCAGGAAATCCCTAAAACAAAGTATAATTCCCGGGAACAGAAAAACTACAGAAATCTTATGATTTCCCGGGAACCTGGATTCTCGGGAAATAAACCCTACTCTAAACTAGTCGATGTTTCTACATGGATCAAGCACAGGAACACCAGTGTGTTTGAAGCGTTACTTGCCCAAACTATGATTCAATCAACTCTGCAGTTACTTTTTTCATCAGTGTTGACTTGGTTGTAT